AACATGCAGTTTTTAAAAGTTCACTGTTGGCAGAATAGTTCTATTGAAGTTGAAAAGCATTTTACCTATTGATTTCAATGGAAGGGGTTAGGCCCATGGTAGGAACTTTAAAAATCTACTTCTGACTCTGTTAGGAATGTTTCTAGAAGCTTACCCAACAATTAGCATTTAGAGTAGCATGTCATACTGAGACTTTCACCTTTTGACAGAGTTCCCATTTATTCATCATGACAGAGCTAGGTAAAGAGCATACAAATTAGGTCTTAAATATTTTTCTTAAATAATAACTCAAAGCAGATTTGGATTTCAGACTAGTGATATTCATGGCTTGCATGTACCTTCACTAAAACTTTGGAAAAATGATGTAAAACTAAGTTTAATGACATTAGTATTGGGCATTGAATGGAAAACAAACATTGATAAGATAAAGTCAAAGTCTGTCTTACAAACTATCAGAGGTAGTCCAAGACATTTTCAAGTCAGACCAGCCTTCTGTAAGAATTTCTGATTTTTTTGTCAGTGAAACTACTGACAGTGAAATATTTGCCATCAGGCTGTAGAACAACAAGTACTTGATGACATGATTTGGAATGGATTTTACTTCAGAGCAGAATACCAATTCTAGTTTCAGATAAATGGAGGCATGCATTCAGAGCTCACTGATGTTAGCAGCAAGAATTCATGTGGGATTTGTTTCCCAAGCCTTTTTTGTGATTGCGTATGATTAGAAAAAGAAGATAAATTCAATAAATTATTTGTTTGCTGTTCCCCATTATCTTCTGAAAACAGAAATATTTTAATGCACAATATACCCATTTTTCAAAAAGCCAGCTTTATGGAAGAGATTCAGGTAGAACTCATATCTAGGTACTGGACAGAGATTGAGAAAGTGTTCAGAAGAGGTATTCCCAAAGGCTACAAGTTGCTTGGCAGAGGCTGGTGCTTATATGGAGGGCACCTTTCTCTTTGCATCTTTGAGTCTGTAGGACTTGGTATTTACCTCAGCGTTGGTAACTAAGATGTGTGAGAGATATGAAGTGAGAGTTTGGAAGCTTGTAGTGATACATGATTAGGATTTTTTTTGCTAGCATTCAGATATTAACCTCAATACTCTTTTGACTGCACTAGTTACAGTTTTAGTTTTGAAGTTCTGAATTTGTTTGCAAAATGAAAATGAGTAATGCATTTGTCTGATGGATTAAATGAGAGCTGATTTTTGTTTTCACTTGCAAGCTAATTTATGACAGAGATGTGGATACAACTCTGGAGAGGTTTCAATCCCTATAGTTTAAATAAAATACTAATGATAATTTTTATTCTCATCCACAGTTCTGTTGTGTTACAACTATGTAATATTGCATCATCACATTACCAGATCAGGCTAGAATATACCAGTCTTTTATTTGATGTGATTTGGCCATATAATGTAAATATGGCTCAGGTGGGTGTATTAGTTACACAATAAAAATTATGAGGGGGGAAGAAAATGTGTGATTTAAAGCATAGAAAGTGGGCAGGTGGACTCATGTTTTTTAACTGGCTTATTAAGACACACGTAACAGAGGTGCAACAAAATTATTTTTATTATTACAAAATGCACAGTAGGTAAATAGGTGTTTACAGATCTATTTTGAAAATATATCTTTTTCCATAATATGTTATTACAAGCAACTTTGTTTTGAAATTTTAATTCAAAATTCTCTCATCCAGGATGGAATCATTCCTGATAGGAATAATATGCTTAGTTTTAACTGAAGTCAACTCATGTTTAAAACTGACATGACAGGCAATTTGGTTACTTTACTGCTTTTAAAACTTTACTAGACCAAAGAAAATATCCATGCAGATTAATCTTATAAATAACATTAAGAGAACGAATATCTTTCAGTAAAAAAGCTAAAAATGCAATAAGTTAAAATATCTATTATCTATTATAAGAGAGATCCAGAGTAACAGACAAATTCCCTTTAAATAAACATGTCTGTAAGAGTCTCAAAAGCAAACATGCCAGGTGACCTCAAGAGGCTGTCTACTTCATTCCCTTGCCTCATGGCAAATTATCTTGATCTCCATCATTCCTAACAGGTTCAGTGTGTTAAAGACCTGTAGTGGTCACTACTCCACAGACCCCACTCCCTTCCTTCATTTGTTCCTTCATTCCTTTGTTTGTTCATTTCTTCCTTAATTCCTTCCTCAACCCCCTGACAATTTATTTCAGTGTCTAGCTGTCTGTACCTTTTGGAAGATTTGCTAGTGACTACTCTGAATCTTTCATTAGTTCTGTTCACTATGAACATAGAGAACTGACTGTTCCTTTTCTCTGTAACAGTCTTCAAGCATGTAAAAGGTTCCTCTAATTCCCCCCCCTCCTACCCTATAAAACCATGTTCCTTGGCAGTAATACAACTGAAAGCAGGGTGAAAACCAATTGATTTCAATACTAATTAGATCTTTCATTCCTTATTTTTCTTTTTTCATGTGTATGTGTGTGCAGTAGAGCTACTAGACTAAAAGCTTTGCAATTATGTGGGGTGTCTCAAGTACTCACCCAACACTGAGTTCCCACCAGCCTTCTGGAATGCTCCCAGTGATTGAAGCCTTACTTATTTAAACCAAAGTCCAGAATTAGATGTATAAAATGACATATGGTGGGAGAACTCATCCATTTGTATGCTAGTATTCCACCAACTTACACAAACAGGACTCAACTGATAACGGTATTAAAACATTGCGTAATCCTGTAAAAAGTGTTTTCTGTTACCATGAACTAAAGTATAAGAAATGCAAGTGATCCCGTCATGAAGAGTATGACCATCCCATAGCAAAACATGGGAGACACCAAACTTTGGTACTGTCGTGTGATGGGTATCTACAGAAATACAAGACAGCTTCTTGCTTTCCTAAATTTAATTTTCTAAGGATGACTTTTATATAATAAGAGAAATCCTTTCATCCTAATGGTACATCTCTCAAATGCTACTCAGGATCCACACCACACTCATTTAAAATTTTATTCTCCTTTCCATATCTCACCATGCACTTTTACTTCAAGCTTGTTTACAGAAAAGTGTGTGGAAAAAATATTACCAAAAGCTATTTTCTTTAGAGACGGTTCCAAATAACACTTATGGATATTAAATACTTCAGATTGCTTTAAAATACCATCTAAAACCAGTGCCAAGATCTAGAAGGGAAACATTTTCGATTAGGTCAGTTGAAATACCTCTTTTTTACATGATCTGTAAAAGCCATTTTGAGATAAGCATATCCTGCACGTACAAACATCTTAGCAGAAAGCATGATACTAGTCAAGATAAACTTAGTGTTAAAAAACATTTACAACTTCTCTGCATAAAAACAAGGAAGATAATAAATGAATATCTGAAATGTTTGCTTGATTAAATGACCTTTCTTAAAACTCAAACTTTAATACAAAATTCCAT